AAAGTGACTACAAATCATAAAACATCTGAAATGACTTTCATATCCTTGACATTAGAGTTTAAATGTACCCAAGAATTGAGAATTGCATTATAAAAGCAAATGTCAAAATTCTGGTGACATTTTTAATTGATTGAGTATTTTAGTGAACATTTAATCTGTTGAAAGACTTTGATATATATATTTTTTCTACAAGTTTCAGAAAATAGATTTAATTGAAAAAAGACTTCATGTAAAATGAGTACTATTTTTAAACATTAATATAATATTATTTTAAAATAAGGGAAATTAAAATTATCTATGAATTTATTTTACATTTTCACTCGTAATAAAAACATACTAAATAATGTTTATGGATTAAACCGTAAATCTTTACCCCATCTCATTTAAATATTAATTCATTAGTACCCATATATTATGCGTCCAAACAATACCTGTCCTCTACCTAATTGACGGCCACTTAGCTAATGAATATAGCAAGCAAAAAATAAACACAAACTAATATCCATTAAAACAGTATAATAATTGAAACAAAAAACAAATATTCATACATAAATCAAATTGAATTCTTATCACAAAACAAATTGCCGTAATATTCAGGTAGTATTCAGCGATGGAAAGGTAGTGAATAGCGCACAGGTATGCGAGGGGAACGGTATGGAGAAGATTAGGGGCGACTCGATATACTGGGTCAATGGTAGTGAACCCAATTGCCGATTCATTAGCCATTTGATGACTACATTGGATCGCATTATATTCAAGTGCAACAAAATGAATAACAATGGCTTAATGGGCATCAATAGCATATCATCCCGCACATCAGCTATGGTCGCGTGTTATCCTGGTCAAGGTAGGTGTCTGTGTGTGTGTGCCAACAATAATCATGTTTAACATATTAATAGCTAATGTTTTATTAGTAATGGCACTATAGTTGCGGGTATTCAATGACTTTGCCTCTAAGACATCCCCTTATCTATAAATATATTGTATATTTAGATAACAAAAGATTTGTTTTGTTAATAAAGTTTTGCGTTTGCATTATAAACAGATAATCGATAAAAAAAACTGTATATTAATAGTCATTTTTATGAATGAAAAAGTTTTTAAAACTTTTTTAATCAGACACCAATATATCAATAATAGACTCCTTGGCCACCGATAGATACGCTTTGAATACACGGCACGTATCCATCAATAAAACATTAATCTAATGTGAAATTCAATGAAAACCTATTTTTGTTTGTTTTTAATTATGATTTTATTTATAATAATTTTTAAAAAATTTTACATTTATTAGAGTCGAGTTATAAACAACACGCTGACAATACCATTGCTGATGGCAGATATATCACGTGCATTTACTATATTAACAAGGGTTGGGTGCCCCAGGTAATCACATACTAAATTTAAAGTTAACAACAATCACAGGATTTACTTATAGTCATAAAATTTTAAGACAACTTGCGAATAAAATTATTTTTAATTAATTCATACATTTCTGAAACCATTTCATTAGCTTAACAACTGTTCCCAATATACTAATTAATATTATATTTAATTTTATTTATAATGAAATGTATGTTTAGAGGGACGGCGGTCTACTGCGGATCTACCCGTCCCAGGTGTCCGGCCAACAGCCGCTCAACATATCGCCAGAGTTTGATCGCCTGATCTGTTTCTGGTCGGACAGACGTAATCTCCACGAAGTGTTGCCCACAAAGAGGTTGAGGTTTGCGATCACTGTCTGGTATTTCGACGACGAGGAGAGACGCCGTTTTCGGCAGAGAAAACTACACCAGACACCTTGACAATAGTGTGTACACCCGACCCTCTCATCCAGCATACCCGTCCCCTATCATACAGTGTACTGTAAAATATGCCACAGAATCTCATTGTATACTCAAAAATCACTTTTTATTTATACGACTAACGAGAATAACTTTATTAACTCGGAGATTATTAGTGCAAATATTTTTTATTTACTTCATTTTTATAAAGTCAGTACACTATTTGCCCTGAACATTAATTGCACTGGAAATATTTATTTATTGTAATCATAAGTTATGTTTGCAATACATGTCGTTTGAATGCAAACTATAATTTTACTGTTATTTGTGATTTGATTATAAGATTAAGATTTTCGTTTATGACTTTTTTACGTATACGACACTAACCTCTGAAATGCCTTTCCATTACTATTCGGTTAATATGACCGGGATCAAAGATATATCGTATATTATTTATTAACCAAACAACTATGACTTGATGATACATTTTCTAATACTTTTTTATAATACAATTTTTGATAAATTAATTTTATGGTAAAGTAATTGCGAAAACAGTTACTATAATAATAGCGATAATTTTTATAAGTTTTGAATTATATTTTTAAAGCCATAATTTTTTACATAATAAATTTTTGATATTTATTACGAAAGCACTTTATTTATTGATAACTTATCTAAAAATTTTCCAAACATTTATCTTAATAAAATTTATGAACAATTATCTTGAATTAAGTAATCGGGAATATTCATAGTGGTTATCCCCAGTACCCATGGATTGTGTATAAAAGTGATATCTCTGTAAACCACAAAATTTATAACCTATAATTAAATTAACATTCAAGCATAATTAAATTAATATAGTAAAACACCATCTATTACATAATGAATGAATTATAAATTTATTGCAAAATACGAAAACAGTTTTATTAAATATAAATCATAATTAAATAAAAAGTAAGAATATATAAATAAATAATATAAAACTACAGAATTATTAAATATATTCCTTTAAATACACTTTAAATGCATTATTGTCTGCAAAATAATGTTTATTATATTTTCATATAAAATGATTATAAATTAAATACAGAATCAAAACCCATATTATTCTCCATAAGCGGGCTTTGAATTCTCAATAATCCAAACCATATACGGCTTAATATCTATGAATTTTGCCGTATTATCAACACTACAGCCATTGCCCGACGAATAGAGACCAATCAATGTCGATGTGTTACCATTGGTGGCAAATAGGGGTCCACCAAAATCACCCTGATTATAGCCAACAAAAATATTCAATTAATAAAACAATTTCTAAACTAAATCGTATGAGTGTCTTAACAAATACTGACCACACAGTCCTCAACCGAGTCATCCAAGTCCTGGACCACACATATCTGATTCGCAACTACCGGTGCTGTGGGCTCGCAGTCAACCACCTGTGCCTTCACTATCTGCAGCTTTGGCTTAAACTCGATGACACCATCGATGGCACCCCAACCGCTCACGTAGTGTTGTTCCCCTGAATGGTCCTCCTTTAGTGAGTGGGGAACGCATATACTGTTGATCTTTCCCTCGGCCTTCTGTACGTCAAAGGGCTGGGCGAGTGATATGAGGCCCACGTTGTTGGCCAGAGTCACCTCGTCGTAGTCCGGGTGCGTAAACGTGCGCTGAGTGTACTGTAAGCCGGGTGTCTGTTGACCCGGGTATGACGCCCGCCTACGTCTAACCCAACCACCTTTGGTTAGGTTGACATTACCGGCCTCTGACCTTAGCATCGCCTCCTTATTTGTACTGAAATATAGTATACATATTAGGTATGAGCTAT